AATAGATTAATAAATCGGAGAATTCAGAAAGAAATGGTAATCTTATTTCGCAAGATCGAGAATTCGATTTCGCTTCGTCAGACCTGGCGCTTGCAAAACAATCACCATATTACCACGGCTTTCTGAAGTCTCCGATTTATTAATTAATTATCATTTGCTCTGTTATTACATTGACCTCTCAGGATTTATATCCCCTGGAATTATCCATACGGATTACCAATTAATTTTATCATATATATATATATATATATATATATATATATATATATATATGGTTGGATAGATGTGAGTTTATGACCCTGAGTTTCACGCTATATATATATGATGTTGCGCGTTCAGAACAAAGTCTAACGGCCGGACTACACACCTTCTACTCTAAGCGTCTTTTTGCTTTAGCGTGTCAAACTAATGCTTACTGACCGCTGATATAGATATGGGGCGTAGACAGGTTTATTGGAAGACTTATCTTTTGCTTTCATCTTGATAGTTTATATTCTTATGTTAGCTTGTTAACACCAAAACATACGATAAACTTGACACTTAGTTAAACATCTAAGTGTGATTTTCAAATAACTTGTACAGCGAACACGGAAGTTAACTTCGAACTCATCATAGGTCCGACTTCTGATAGGTTACTCGAGGTCGTCTTCTAGCATGTTTAGAAATTTTCTGTGCCCCCCACCCCTGTGAGGGTATATATTTATTTTGTAAAAAATACAAAATTGTGGCACAAGGCCGAAGGGGGATTGGGAAGAAAGGCTGGTCTTTCACTAGCTATCCTATTTCTAGTTAACCACAATCATGACCCATTTATTCATTACAATGAAACATTCACCACAAGAACTCATCCATCACCTTTCAATCCTGCACACACCACAATAAGGCATATACACAAGGGTCCTATATAACACCCCGAAAATTAAAAATTTGTAATGTTCGTATATATATATATATATAAATTTCATGAAACATGAAATGCTGGGGAGGGGATATGAACGCAGACAAGAAACTCAAACTGTCAACCAATGACAAAACGAAAACAAAACAATGTTAGTAGGAACCGCCCACCCCTCAAAATAATAAGAGCGGACGCTGTATTGTATCGATAGATAGAATCAAGAAGCACACTCACTAATGTAATAGGGAGGGAAAATAAATTACGGCTTGACTTAGACGAGATGAAAAAGCGAGAGAGAAACAAACTGAGGAGATTGGGAATCTCGACATGAATCATAAGAGAAGAAAATGCCGGGAAACCGCCCCGTTGCGTTAGGGGGACTTAAAAACTCCCTGTGAAGGTATTGCAGCTTTTAAACCTTAAAATGACCGTCTTTACCCAATTGACCACCACCACCTCAAGAAGCACAAACAGTGCAAAAACATGATTGCAGTTATGTAGCGGTTTATAACATGTTTTTGTTATAATTAACAAATATTTTTATTATTAAGCTCTACTCTTTATGGAGCACTTTTCAAAAATATAATGTTTAGATATTTGTATTAACCTACCTTACACTTGGACGTATATATAGTGTTTGTGTGTGTGTGTGTGTACCTACATATTAGGTTGTTCAGAAAGTACTTATTTCGCCACTATTACGGGTCAATTAACGAAAGGAGCGCTTAAGTTGAATGATGGGAAATAGCATCTAGAATTAAGGTATCGTCTATTCTATTCGGTAGTTTATCTCTCACGGTACATTTCTGATTTTAATTAGGAAAACTTGCAGTCTTTTAATTTCGGTTTCACAAGAGATTTCGTATTAGAACCGAACACATAGTTTTACTGGCTGCAGCATTCTTTACCTAGGAACAGAAACTTTCATTTTTTCCATCGCATTTTTACAGCTGATGAAAAATGAGTTTTGCATAACAGAAAAAAACAACATAAAACAGTGATTATCAAACGCATAGAAAGGACAATAACAGGATTTCATCCACAGAATGGAATATGAAATATTTAGTCCATTACGATCTATGAAACACTGAAGAACTATAAGTGCAAATGAGTATTGCCAACCAGTTGATCGGGTAAATGAAGCCTTTTGCTTTGATAAACAGTAAAAAAATCAATTATTCTCCTGCACGACAATGTAAGAGTACACACTGAAAAAGCAATCTAAAGGATAGAATGTTCAAAGTCGTCCACACTCACCAGAATTAGCATAACCATTTTTTTTCATTTCATACGTGACAGTTTATTCAAAATTATTTAAAATTTTAATCGAAAATTTACCACCTGTTGAGCTTCAGTCTATGAAAATGAAGGTGATTACATTTTTGATAAATAGTATTTAAATTAATTTAAATTACTTTCGTTTTATATCGTTTTTGCTGAAACGTAATTACTTTCCGAACACCTGAATATATATAGATGTGTATATATATATATAATTATTTACCCGCTGCCCCACACAGCAAGATGTGGCACAAGGCCGAGTTTAAAGTGGGGTATCCGAGCCCGTAGGCTCGGGCAAAAATTCCCTATAGACCACGTAAA